TACTTTTCACTACAGCTCTGCTGTGACCACACAGTGAAGAAAAGAGGAACACTGGTCACAAGCTGACCCTCTTCCCTCCATTGAGTGACTCAGCCTCATGTTGCACAACAAAACTACTGGCTCAAAAATAACCACAGAATATTGCTGACAGTCAAAATATCCACACACACACACACGCATACAAACAAACACGCAGGTTGCAATGGAGTTTGTATCCTTCCATATTCAAACATACACACACTTCATTTGAGCAGTTCAACCCCCCCCCCCCCACACACACACACACGCATTCCCACACACACGCAGGAGCTCTAACCTATCCCTGTTATCAGACAAAATCTGTACCAATCAGCCAGACAGTGAAAATTAAAATCTATTTTTTGATTCTCTGTGGTCTTAAGTTCATTAAAATGTGAAATTGGCGGCTGAGTAAAGAAGGTCAACACGCATCAGGCGGCTAGTGCAGAGTCACACTCTTCACCTTGGACTGGAAGATTTTCTTTAAAAGAGGGACGGTGAATTATGTTCTCCCGTTTCGCCTCCCTAATTCGGCCGACTGCGCCGCTCCTCTCCCTCCTGCTGCAGGACGAGTCTGGCCTCCACAAAAGGCTTCTTAAAAAAAAAAAAGCAGCGAGGAGTTAATCCGGCCTCGGAGGGGTGAGGAATCGGGTTGAACGGCTCATTTTGGGGCGATTTTCCCGCTGTACAAGAGCCTGGTATCTAAGAACTATAAGTCAGCCACATGTAATCGAGGCCGAGGATTGAGGGAAGAGTTTTATTTCGCCCACACGCATACATGCACACACACGGGCACGCGTGCACACACACACACACAGACGCACTCTCTTCGTGCAGCCTGCCCTCTCTTCCCTTTCCCCGGCACATATGTTGGACATGTTTGTGACAGTTTTCCCTTCTGCTGATTACAGGATCAAACCCTCTACAAACAAGGTTAGGCAAGTCAAACTCGTCCACATCTTTAGTTTTTTTTATTTTATTTTTCTTTCGGTGAATACTGTGTTTAAGCATCATTTTCTAAGCTCTCATTGGCTACCAAATTGTTATCTTGGAGCAATCTGATTGGAGCTTTGCAGCTTTTCAGGATAGAATTTCCCACCATTTATTGTTGTGATCCACACCGGCTCGCGTTGTAATCATTTCCCCTGTATTACATGCTTTTCTATCATTACAAGGCACATTTTCTCACCCCCCCTTATTGTGCGTGCCGCATGCCGACCTTTTATTTAGCTTTGTGTCTCTCTAACTGTGATCCACACTGAGAGAGGTTTTGTGGATTCTTCCTTGTCATCAATTCTCACAAAAACAAAAAAACAACTGTATTAATAGGTTCGAATTACAGGAGAAAGAGAAAAGGAAAATATAAACATGTGGTTTTTGCTTTTCTGTTCTGAGTAAGCATCGCCTTCTAATTTCCCTCTTTCCTCCCACCCCTGTCTTCTTCTCTCCCTCTTCCCCTCTGACTCGCCAGCAGCTGAGCCCCTCTCCACGGCTGTTGTCTCGTCGGAGGAGCTGTCGGAGCGCTGCTCGGAGAACTCGGAGGAGAGTGGCAGCCTCAACGGGCACCACCCGGGCTCGAACGTGAGCCGGCTGGCCCGGCTGGGTCATGACGCTCACCCGTCTCTGGAGCAGGACCTGCTGACCTGCGGCCAGTGCCAGGCCACTTTCCCCCTGGCGGACATCTTGCTCTTCATTGAGCACAAGAGGAAGCGATGCCACGGTCCGCCCTGCCTCACTGTGGGCAGGGGGCTGGACAAGCCCCCCTCACCCTCCCCTGGCTTGGCCCTCACTCCTTCGCCTGCAATGGGCTCCCTGCGCAGCCGGAGGCTGGAAGTGGGTGTCCAGGCCACACTGGCAGACGAAGATGAAGACCGGTTCTCATCACCCCGGGGCATTTGCCCCAAACAGGAGCCCCTCCCAGGTAACCAGAACTGCTTTCACACCAACCAACACACATCACCTCTTTCTGGATACAAGCACAGCCACCATGTGGCAAGATCATATCCCCCAGAGGACCCCTCAGTATCAGCTTAAGTGTGAACAAACCATTCAAATCAGACAGAAGCCAGAAAGTGACCAAGACACAGTCAGAAATGTCACCCGTAGGTGTTCTAACGCGCTCACTGTCGAGATTATTTCCTCAGTGTTTTGGATGCGCTCACTGCTGCAGATGAGCGGATGTGTGTGCTTTCTGCAGCCTGAGCTCTTGCTTTCATTATTTCACATTTTATGTCCAAGGAAGCTTTTTTGTTTGTTTGGGGGTTTTTTTTGAGACACACGTGACAGAAATCTGATTGGCTGTTAGTGGTTAGAAGGGGGTGGAGCGTGTGAGGTGTTTGTGTGTGTGTGTGTGTGTCTTTGTGAGACAAACAACACAGGTGTGGCGAGGGTTCACCTGTGTTGACGCCCTGTGGTTTGATTTAGGGCGTCTTTCTCTTCTTTCTTTTCTTTTAAATTTTTTTTACATGTGTGTGTTTTTATCAACAAAAAGCGTGTGTGTACCCCTTCTACAGTTCCCCTAAAATTCCAGTGTGTGTGTCTGTGTGTTATGGAATGTGAGTGTTTTCCCAGTTTGCCCAGCTTGGCCACAGTGACTGAATCCCACAGGCCAGTTGCAAAGAGCTAAGGGTGACCTTGACTTTGTGGTGCCACTGGTCAGCATTAGTTGTGTGTTTGTGTGTGACTTTGAGTCTGGGGAGTAGCTGCGGCCTCTTTTTGAGTTTGGGTGCAGAGAATCTGTGTGCATGAAATGTGTGTGTGCGTGTGTGTGTTTTTCCCTCTCATGTGGCCCTAGCAGATGTGTCCTGCTCTTGGTGTGGTTTTCACCCCCCTCTTTCCCACCGCCACATCTTACCCGACTAAATGCAGCCCAGCTCTCCATCAGCTTTCATTCTTCTTCTTCTCTGAGTTTACCTCCGTGCCAGACTTCATAGGTAAAACTGGCTATTTTTCCTCCACTTTAGCCGCTCCGCCTCTCTTCCTTTTCCCAGGAATCAAATGAGAGGCGAGCAGAGCGAGGGAGGGGGGGAGAAAAAAAAGTTTTGCTCATGGAGGGAAAGTCGTTTATTTAAAGCGTCTTAACGCCACTAATTATTTGTTGCGGCGCCATTTCTTTCTTTCTTTCTTTTCTCGTGCATTTTAATTAGCAGTAGTCTTTAGTGGCGGGCTGCCTGTACTAAATTAGCTGTTACAGAGAGAGAGAGAGATGACACGGAGCAGCGGAAACGCATCCGCGTTGAAACGCAGCACACTTTGTCGCTTGAACGTAACTCGGGAATCCTAAATGTTGCAGTTTGTTTTTTCCGCTTCAGCGTTTGAGGAAGCAAACGTGACCGAAACCACCAGCTCAAAATTTACAGTGGAGGCGAGGAAACGGGATGGGTTTGACCTTTGACCTTTGTCTCTACGGCTCTAGAAAGACTTTTTTTTCACTTTCTGTAGCGTCTGCATGTTTGATTGCACACTCCCCCCATACACACACTCCCACACACACTCAGACGCTCACCAGTTAAACTGGGTTATTAGAGCGATTTACATCATAATACCGGCGTCTGGTGGCTTCAATAGCGTTGTGTGTGGGAACGTCTTGGTAGGAACAGCTGTACGCTCAGAAGGCAGCGTTATATATCTTGTCTGATGTCGATGTCGAGGTGGACGGGAGACCGGCCGAGCATTATTATTAAATGTTGGGAATTTTCGTCTGGAAAAGGAAAACCCCAGCCTTTAAACTGTCCGTCTGCTTTATTTACACCCTGTCCGCTCTCCTTTTCCCCCCTTCCCTTCTCTTCTTTTCTTTTCTCCCAGCCGCTGGATCCACACCAGCACAAACCTCACATGCTGAATTTGCGCAACACATTCAGTCTGATAGCCGATAATCAAAGCCAGCGTTTCCCTCCTCCTCCTCCTCCTCCTCTTTCTCTTTCTCTTATCCCTCCCATCCCGACCAAACCCATAGCTTTCATCGTAATTGACCTCAAACTGTCACGGTGGAGTAAATATGTGAAAGAAAAAGTAATAATCTGCTGGAATTTCAGCCGAGATTATTGCCATCCAAAAACAATGACACACACACACACACACACACACAAGAAAAGCAAGGTGAGGGCTGCTGCTTCCTCCTTGCTGTGTATGAGGCCTCTGCTCCCACAGATAGGCCTTAAAACAGAAATGCAATTAATGCCATTAAAAAAATCTACACACTTGTAGACACATGCTTTGTCATTAATCTCAGTATTTTCAGTCTAACAGAATTTCTACTGGGGTTTAGTTTTTGCCTCATTATTACTCTGTTCATTTAAATCAGATAAAATAGGACCATACCATCTTCATTTTTCCTTCCCTTCCCCCCTTTTTTGTTGTTGTTGCTCCGTCTCCATCTGCTTTCTTTTAGAAACAACCAAATATTTTTCATCTCACATTGGAGGAATTATTTTACAGCACCCCTCCTCCCTTTTTTTAATCGCTGCATACTTTTTCCTGCATGTATCTTCTCATGTATATAATGATGCTCCGACTGCTTGTTGTAAAATATGTCTGTGGTCAGAGAAGCACAGAGTGGCTGTGAGGCTCAGAGGAACACAAAGCGTCCGACTTGTGCCGGAACGCTGCTATTTACATATCAAACAGCCCCGACCGAGTAGAGCTGACACACACCTGTGTGCGTGTGTGTGTGTGTGTGTGTGTGTGAGAGAGAGTGAGGACTGTACAGGCAAAATGCCGATCGGTGATGCAAAACAGCCAGCGTAAATGCTCACCCACCCACACACACACACACACACACACACACACACACACACACACACACACATTTAGTGCTCTCTCTCTCTCTTTCTCTTGCCCATTTATTCTATTAATCCCTGACTGAGATGAAAATTCTGATTATAATCCCTGAGGCATCCCTCATTCAGAAACAGCATCGCTAATGTCTCAAAAGAGTGGGGCTTCCGCGTGTGTGTGTGTGTGTGTGTGTGTATTTGCGTGTGAATGGCTGCGTCTTCATCTTTGCTCCTTTTACTCAAATTGAAAAAAAAAAGAGGCTTGAAAATTGAAATTTTAGCATCAATTCTTCGTGGATTACTTCGACGGCAAATGCATTTTTCCCCCCGCGCTGTCCTGATTTGTCAGTTGATTTCTCGTAATTAGCACAAAGGGCTGAAAACCAGTCCTAATATTTGTGTTAATGAGCTCAAATTGATACACGGCCAGTGCGGAGAATTGCTCGTCTTTACTGACCAGTGATTTCACTGAGAATTATTGGCTGATAAGCTGAATTAGCTTATCAATATTAGCTCATTAACCCAGATATTATCGCCGCTTGGACATGATGATAAATCGCTACATTTCTTGAGACAAATTTATCATTCCCATTTTTTTCCCTTCCTTCCTTCCTTCCAAAAAAAAAAAAAAAAAAGGCAAATGCAGCTCTTCATGCTAGTCAACCCACTGAGGAGCCATCCTGGCTCAAAGCCTCGTAACATGAGCATTGTTAGTCTATGATCTACTGATTAGCAATTAGCTTATCATCACCGGCTAATGCTGCCCACCTCAATACACATTAGTGCATTTTTAACACCCATTCATTGCCTGGCTTGGTGTCAGATCGCTCGCTCTCCATCTCACGTCTGTCCTCGTCCTCTCTTTTTTTTCTGTTTTGGCTCTGGCGTCTCTCTATCTTTTTCTTTCGTTCTCTCTTGATCTCGCTGCAACATTAGCAGTCAATGCAAATCCAAGACAGCCAATTGATACTGAATCAATTACAGTACATTCGGTGTATGTGTGTGCGTGTGCGGCCATGTGTGTTGTGCTGTGGCGCATCCCAGCGAGCCTACAAAGAGATTTCACACGCTGGCTGCCATCACTAATCTATTGTTGCTGCCCCCTCCCTCTGTTTATGTCCATCTTTCTTTCATTCTTTCCCTTCACTGCGTTTTGTTTAGCGGCCTCGAGTGCAGCGTTTGAACGGTGGGAATGTGGCTTTTGTCTTGAAGGAAGCCTGCCGAACGCAAACGCTGCCGGTGTGTGCGAGGAAACATCAGCAGCAGGGTAGAGCATGCTGCACACTGAGATGAGTGGAAAAAGTTCATAATCCTTCAGAGAGGCCTTAATGTTTTCTATTTGATGCTCACAAAAAAAATTCATGATTAAGTAACTGAAGCTCTGCATATGGACAACAGCAAAGGAAAAAAAAGCCTTTTGGTGCTGAGTGTTAAAGAGTAGCAATAAAACAAAGACAAGCCTGTTGATTCGCCCTTTATCCTGTTTTATAATGCTCATCGTTTTTTTACATAAGTCACAGCGCTGAACAAAAACGTAGCCTGCATTTTCATTTAGAGAGCCACTCTAGTTATCTTGAACTTCTGCAAAGCTGGACGGTGACACAGCAAAAGCACGATGTGTCCTGACGTTTGTAACGCTCGCTGCCTCTACGTCATGCACATTATATGTAGTGGAGAGTTCCAAGATGGTAGTTGTAGAACTTTTTTAAAGGTTTATTTTGGGCAAACCTTCCAAGCAGTCTTTATCAGATCTGACTGCTGATTGTACACGTGCAGTTTGTGAGTCCTTCAGACGACTGAAATGACAGTAAATCTACGTAATCCTAGAAAAGAGGGGGGGCCCTTGCAGCGAGAGTTGCTTCTAGAAGACTTTCCCCTCATCCTTCAAACCCGGTTGCTGCGGTTTGTGAGGCTGACTCGTGAGGTAACCCTGATGACATCACAGAAACATCAGCCGGGTTACTTGTGACTCCCCTAGGGGACATTAAACAGCTGATTTCTTGACTGAAGTAGGACTAACAAAGGAAAGTAAAGTGAGATTCCAGCAAAGACTCTTTGAAACACTGGACGCATATTAGGCTGACCTCGGCTGCTGTGACCTTTGATCTGTTGAGCTTCTTTGTCACCGTCAGATTCACTTTGTTAT